TTTTGTTGAACAAAGTTATGAAGATTCTAAAGACATCATTTTTGAAGTTCAAGTTCTGAAGATTCTAAAGACATCATTTTTGAAGTTCAAGTTCTGAAGATTCTAAGACAAGGTTCTGTTGAACGAATTTTTGAAGACTCTGAAGACAAGTATATGATGAACAAGTTCTGAAGATTCTAAAGACGAGGTTATGATTGACTAAGCTCTGAAGTTTCTGAAGACATCACTTCTAAATACCATGTGCTAAGGACTCTTAAGACAGGTTTTACTGAATAAAGATCTGAGGTTCTAAAGACTTAGGTTGTGAAGTAATAAGTATTGATCTCTCTACACATGCTTCATCAAATATACATCTGAAGCCTCTGAAGAAACTAGAAGACAAAATATCAAGAATGGTTTGCATGTCTCAATGAATATAAAAGTACAAAGTAGTATGTGACCTCTACCTAGATAAAGGTGGCGCAGGGACAACTCTTTTGTATTATGATGTTGAACATTCCTTTAAGTAACCGTTAGGATATTACAGTTGGAATATTCTTATTATACCCCCAAACAAATCTATTCTCAAGCTCTATATATTGCATATCTGAATGCTTGAAGAGTGTGCTTAGTGCTGAGTGTAAAAATGCCGCATTGCTGAATAGCCAAAAGAGCTAGAGAGAAATGAAAAAGAGAGAATAACAGAAATGAAAAATAAGAAAAGAAAGAGCTAAATAAAAAACGAGATTATGTGTGCAAGGTGGAAGCAAGCACCAATTTGTAAGCTCAAAAAAGAAGATGCTTGATTCAACAAAAATATAGTGTTGCTCTAGAAGAAAAAGAGAGAAGCATTAAAAGAAGCTTTTAAGCAACAAAACTCATGCTGATACGATGAAAATCTTTTGGAGATTATTCTTAAGATAGTTTTGTAAATTAGCAAGGAAATGTTGTTCATATCTTGCTAGAGACACTTTTGTGTTATTGTTCTTAAACTTGTGTAATCTGCTTATTTAGAAGCATCTCTTTGTACACACATTTGTAAGACTTTTCAAAGTGGTTATTCCTAAAGTGACTAAGTCTCTAGTCTGGATACTTGAGAGGGCTAAGTTGTTTTCTAACATTTAGAGGTTTTAATCTTTTTAGATTATTGGATTAAGTCTTTATCTAAGGAGAAATCACCTTGGTGGGTGGACTAGAGTAACTTTGTTAATAGTGAACCATGATAAAAATAATTGTGTCTATTTATTTTTATTCTCTTGTTAGCATTGAAGTTTAAATTTCAAGAAAACTATCATAGTTGGTGAAAACCAACTCACACCCCCTATTTCTTGTGTTTCTCGTCCCTTCATAATCTGGTCTTAAAATCTCCTTTGTCGAAAAATAGGGCATTTAAGACCATGATAAGTTTGATTGAGGTACAATGCCTCAAAACAGTTGTCGACCACAAGAATAGTTGGTTGTGGCATTTAAGATTTGACCATACGAATTTTAGGTCACTCAATCAACCGATTACTCAAGATATGGTAACTGGCATACTAAGTCTTGAGATGCCAAAAAACTCTGTGAAGGTTTCTTAGTAGGAAAGCAATCCAGAAAGTCTTTTATGTCGACTATGTCAATGAGGTCCTCTTGCATAATAGAAGTAGTACATTCAAGTGTATGTGGCCTTTTCGAGGATCATACCATTGGTGGAAACATATATTTTGTCTCATTTATCGACGAGTATATTCGAAAACTTGGGATCTATATGATCAAGCGAAAGGACAAAGTATTTGTAATCTTTAAGAGATTCAAGATGCTTGTTAAAAACCAGAGTGAAAAGAAGATCAAGATTTTACGAACAGATGGAAGTGGCGAACACACATCGAATATGTTTGAGAAGTTTTGTGCAGAACATGGTATTGATTGTGAGGTAAATTCTCCTTACACGCCTCAACATAATGGGATAGCATAAAGAAGAAACATGGTCATATTTGATATGTCGATATGTATGCTGAAGCAGAAGAACTTGCCAAAATCCTTATGGGGTGAAGCTGTCACCACTGCTGTTTATATTCTGAATAGGTTCCCTACCAAGAAGCTAAAGAACAAGGTTGCTAAAGAAGTGTGGAGTGGAAAACGATCATCAATGAGTCATCTGAAGGTGTTTGGCTCTATTCGCTACAAGCATATTCCTGATGAAGTTAAAGCAGAAAATTGAGAGGGTATGGCTAGCATAAGCCAAAGACCTCAAAGAACCAGAGTACTTCCAATAAGGCTTCAAGATTGTGAAGTGGTGGGTGATGATGAAGTCATACCAGATGGAGATTTGGTTCATTTTTCTTTACTTGCAAGTGCTGAACCTTTTAACTATATTGAGGCCTTAAAAGATAAATAATGAAAAGAAGCTATGGTCAAAGAGTCACAAGCAATAGAAAGAAATAATACATGGGAGATAGTCGAATTGCCAACACATACAAAAGCTATCAAAGTGAAGTGGGTGTGCAAGTTGAAGCATATAATGCTGGCAGGTCGATAGCAAGATATAAGGCAAGATTAGTAGCTCGATAATTTCTTCAAAGAGCAGGACTCGACTACTCTGAAGTATATGCACCAATAGCAAGATTGGAGATTGCTCGATTGGTGGTAGCCTTGACATGTAAGCAAGGTTGGTCGACATTTCACTTAGATGTAAAATTATCATTTTTGAATGGTCCTCTAGAAAAAGAGGTATATGTCACACAACCTCTTGAGTTTGTGATTCAAGAGGAATCAAGGAAAGTATATAGGTTGCAAAAAGCGTTCTATGGCCTCAAGCAGGCACCTATGGTATGAAACAAGAAGATTGACTCATACTTGGTCAAATTGAGATTCATTAAATGAAAATCTGAGTATGGTGTTTATGTTCAGGTTGTGGCACAAGATATAACAATCATTCGCTTATATTTTGATGACTTGTTAGTAATTGGAAATAGCTTGGAGAACTTGGTGAAGTTCAAAGAGCCGACGAAGAAGGAATTTAAAATGTCGGATCTGGGAAAGTTGTCTTACTTCCTAGGCATGAAATTTCAAATGTCGAAGCAATGTATGATGCTACATCAAAGAAAGTATGTCAAAGAGATACTCGAGAGATTTAGGATGGAAGACTTGAATCCTGCATCCTCACCTGTCAAACCAAATTTGAAGCCGGAGAAACATGGAGAGGAAGACAAAGTCGATGTCACTTTGCTCAAACAAATTATCTGATCTCTGAGATATATGTGCAACAGTAGACCTAATATAGGTTTCTCAATCGGATTAGTGAGCAGATACACGAGTGAACCAAGAGTGTCACACATGAAAGCTGCAAGAAGAATTTTGAGATACTTAAAAGGATCGACAAACTATGGAATTCTATTTCCATGAGATTCTTAAAGAAAAAAAGATGAGATTACTTGCTATTCAAATGCTGATTGGTATGAAGATAAGGAAGATGGAAGAAGCACAAATGGTTATTTCTTTCAAGTATTTAGCGCCCCAATCTCATGGTGCTCGAGAAAGCAATCTATGGTGGCATTATCATCATGTGAGTCTGAATATATAGCAGGATCCTATGCTGCTTGTCAAGCAATTTGGATCAGATCTGTGTTGGAAGAGATGGAGGTCGAAGTGAAGAAACCTTTGGTGCTGCAGATTGACAACAAGTCAGCCATTAATCTTGCAAAGAATCCAACTCTGCATGGAAGGAGTAAACACATCGAAGCTAGATTTAACTTCTTAAAGGAGAAGGTAAATCGAGGTTAATTTGAAGTAAGACATTGCTCAAGTGAAGCATAGTTGGCTGACATTTTTACCAAAGTATTGAGAAAGAAATTAGGATTAGTTCAGATCAACTATGATTAGTGTATGTTCGATAACTTGCATTATAAGGGGTATGTTATGATATATGTTAAGAAATGTGGTTGGGCCTAACTCAACATTGTCCGATGTAGGACTTTTAACACACCCCCTCACGCTCAGGACTGGACAACTGAAGCGTAGAAATAAATGGTGGGTGGCCCGATAGCGGAAACCATAGAAGGTGGCCCACCGAATCTTAAACGAGGCTCTTGATACCATGTTAAGAAATGTGGTTGGGCCTAACTCAACCCTACAAAACCGACTTGTAGAGTGAGGATTGCCCCCACTTATAAACACATGTTCATGCCATATATTGTCCGATGTGAGACTTTTAACAATATAATTCAAGTTGTATAACCCAATCCTAAAAGTTAATTAGTGTTTAGAATTTGTTACTTAGTACACAAGTTAATTGTATATAAATAAACATATTTTGTAATTCAGTTTGTACAATTACATTCAATAGTAACAATCTTTATTCTTCATCTTTATCTTTCTTTCCTCACAAAAATATCTCACGCACTAACAATTCAAATATCAAATTTAAAATAAAATAAAATCACAAAGTCAAATTAAAAATAACTATTATAAGGATTAAAATTCAAACTACTCAATCTAAACATACTATTTGAAAAATTAAATTTTATAGTATATTGTTTTTTCAATATTATAAATAAAAGTTTATTTTTTAATTCATTGAATAACATATCCATATAAAACAAATTCAAAAAATAAAATATTTAATTGCAAGAAAGAATATAAAATAAACTAATATTTAATCGATGATTTATACTCTCTCTAATTTTTAATATTTAAAAAAATAAATTTTAAATTTATTGAATAATCGATGAATCTAGATTATATCCCGATAAAATACAGCAATTTTTCAATGAAGTTAAAAAAATAAACTTTTTTTCTTTCTTTCATTCTTATATTAAGGAGTAGTGAGAGTATTATTGATGATGTTTATCCTCTCCAACGGACACCATAATTGAAGTCCAGGTTGTTGTATTTGACCGTTGCAACTTCATTTCCTCAATCACTCACTCATTCATTCACCTTATAAATATATTTCATCTTCAACTTGTCGATTTCAACAAATAGTGTATCACATAAAACCTAACCAAATAGAAGAAAACAGAATCACAATTCACATCGCTGTTATGGAAAATATCCTTCAAGAAGTTCCAATTCAAACTCCAATAATCGAACCTCAATCCACCAAAACACCAACTCCTCCACCACCTACGGTTCATCATCATCATAAACCCTCTAATGAATTGCGCAAACCTGTCACTCCAGATCATCTTAAACTCCCCAAAGCATTCAAATATCCCGAAAGGTATCTCTTCGAATTTCGAATTCAATTTCATTCTCCTCTGCTATAACTTAATTGAATTGATTTTAACTTGATTCAATGTTTTATGTTATAATTGATTTTGATTCAATTGACTTTTTCTTTGATGGTTTTGAGTTTTTTGTTTTCACGGTAGATAATCACTTTTTCTTCCTTTTTTTTAGGTATACAAGTCCAACTGATATGATGATGTCCCCGGTTACCAAAGGCCTTCTTGCCAGAAATAAAAGGGCTGCTGCAAAGTTACCACCTGGAATTGGAGCTGCTAAATATCAACCCAAGGTATATTAGTATTAGTATTATTACCCATGGTTGTGGTTGCAGGTGTTGCAATTGCGGTCATTGTGATTGATCCGATACGTATTGCGGTCGTTGCAGCGTGAATTTTAATTAGAAGGTGTTTGAAATATACTGTGAAATATACTGTTAAAAAACACTTGATTTAAGATTTTTCATGACATAGGAAATGAATTGAGTTTTTGAGTTCTGAAATTTTAAATTTTGATGAAAATTCATGAAGAAACATGGATGATATTGTCTAATGTGATTTCTAATGGTAGTTAGACGCATAGTTTTAATTCAAACCGCAATTGCGGCCCGATGTGGTTGTGGAAGCTACCGCATTAGTAATATTGCGACTGCAATTTAAAACCACGGTATTACCCGAGATTGTTATTGTTTTTTTAGAATAGGAAAATGTTAATATATTAGCAATCGGTTATGTTATTGGTAACTCCTAATTAGTACTCTTTGGGGTGTTCTTTAACTCACAACCGAACCGAGTTGTCTGCTTGAGACATGTGAGTTTGAACTCCTGATTAGTGATTAGTAACTCACAACCGAACTGAGTTGTTTGTTTGAGATGTGCGAGTTTGAACTTCTGATTAGTGATTAGTACTCTTTCGGTGTCCTTTAGCTCACAATTGCGTTGTCTGTTTGAGTCGGATTCTTGATTAGTGTGGCTATTTGTAACTGCGGTAGTTTATGTTAACTATTGCAGGTTCCAGAGATGTGCTTGCAGGATGTGAGTACTTTTCAAAACAAGCTTCCAATGATGATTGATGAGAAAATCAACTCAACTTGAGGAATTCAATGGAGTTTTGTTATACATTATTAATTATGTGGTAGTGGTTCTAGTGGAACATAAAGATGAAGAAGTATCTTAGAGAGAGCTGTTGTATCTTCTGATTTTTGTTCCTAAATAGGTTTTTCTACCTATGTATACATTGATGTTAAAGAGTTTTGTACTTTTCAATTCTATAGAACCTTAAAGAAACCTATGTAAGAATTCCAATAAAATCATTTTGTTGTACCCTTCTAGTAGCATTTGTTGATGCTTGTTTCTTTTCGGATACAAATAACTTGTGCATAATCGCTTATATGAGAAGTGTTTATGCTATAAGCACTTAATTAGACGGTTTATCAAAACCAAACCAAGCCTAAATAAATAGAATGGAACTAAACAAAACATTACAAGCACATGTTGGCAAACCGCAGTTGATACGGTTTGATGGAATAATATGAATTCTATTCAATCCAACCGAACCTCAAACCATTGAATCGTCCCAACTTCTTCATCAATTTCAAGTTCACAAAACGACTTTGCTAAGAACGAAACAGCATCATCAATGGTTTCATATCTAGCAAGATCAGGAGGAAGAGCTTTGCCCGGCCAATTCGTAAGCCACTCTTTCAAAGTCTCTTTTAGCTCTTCCTCCGACACAAACCTCTCATCCTTCCCCGGTTCTAATAGCACATAAGTTTCTGTTCTCTCATTCGACCTTCTCCTTCTCTTCGCAAAAACCTGTTAAAAAAAGTTCAGTACTTCTATATGAAACTTTGTATCAAAGCATCGAAAACAGAAAATAAAGCGAAAACAAGGTATCATCACCTTTGTTTTACTTCTGCAATCACCTGCAACTCCAGCCCGTTTCTGATGGATACAAGAACTAAAACATTGAATTTGGCATGGTGATGATGTTATATGTATAACTGGCTTCTGTATATGGTAACTTTTTGTAGCTGCAAATTATCAGAAAATCTAAATAGTAATCAAAATAGCTTTTTATATATGTGCTATATTTATATACTACATTGTGAATAATTAGTAACAAAGCTTAAAAGCTGAAAAGATAAGGTTCATAAATAGCTTACAGTGGAGAAACTGAACACTAACATTGAAGGCTTGAGGCTGCAGAATAACTTCCATAACAATTATTATCACTTTAAGCTAAGCTTAGTTCATATTGATGAAAATTTGAATAATAAGTTATCATCACAACATGATATGGTTTAGTTGGTGTGAATAACAATCACAAATTCTAGAGGATAACATCTTTTAAAGTGGTTCTCTTTTTACCCTTCTTTGTTCTCGTATTTACGATATTGACATTGTACAATTATCACTATGACTTGAAAGTTGAAACACAATTAGAGATAATATTTTGTTAATAAAGACCAATAATTGTGATTTGTTCTTTAAACAATTTTTTATACTGGTAATTAGATTTAATCGTTACAAGCAAAAATTAAGCAAAATAAAATATAAAATGAGAGATAGAAAAAAAGATATTTAATTTTTTATTTATTAAGAATTATTTCACAATGAATCCTCTCTTTTCATCCTTCTCCCTCCTTCAACAAAATCACATGCAACATAATAGAGACAATTAAGAAAAAAATAAATAAAATCAAGATGAAAGAGAAAATGTTAGAGAGAGATAGAAACACAAATGTATAGTAGATACTTGGAGAGAAAATATTGAAGTAGAGGATTCAAACTCAAATTATATATATATATATATATATATATATATATATATATATATATATATATATATATATATATATATATATATATATATATATATATATATATATATATATATATATATATATATATATATATATATATAAAAAAGAGCAATTATATATTAAATATTACGGTGAAAAGATTAAAATACATAATAATCAAGATTTTAGACTTCTTATTTTTTAGAGCAATTATATATGTCTGTTTTCTTATTTGAATCTAATTGATTGTTTTACGTGTCACTTCATATACATTTTTATATAACAGTGAAAAAAATGGAATCTAATTGATGGTCTTTCATGTTACATCATTAAAAATAATATATATGTCTTTTTTGCAGAATCTAATTGGTTGTATCTCGTGCGACTTTATAATTTATTCCAATCACATTTTTTAAGATAAAAATTATTTAAATATTATATAAAAATTATGAAATTTTGGGTCGAACTCAAACTTTGTCGAGAAATAGCTTTCATGTATTTCGATAGGAAACAAGCATGAAGTTGAAGCTAGGTCGCATGTTGTGGTTAAAAGATACATATTATAGTCGAAGTCTGTTCTAATATGTATTGTCGAATTGGACCTTTTGTTATGGATCCAATTGTTTAGTTAGCTTGAGTTGTAAGTTATCTAGTTAGTCTATATATAAACTAGAACACTCAGTTTGTTGAGTGTGGTCAGATTGCGTTATTCACTTGTAATCTTTTGTAATATTGAGAAAGTGAATAGTATATCAATTTGCCTTAATCCTTCTTCTTCTTTCTTCTTTATCCTTACTTCTTTCTCTCTTTGTTCTAACTGTTTTTCATTGTTCACCCAAGAACTTCGTTTCTCAATCTTTATTTGTTAGAAGGTATCGTTTGTAATCACAACAAACTGGTGTGGTGAGCGTGAAGAAAATTTCGTCAACAAAGTTTAAAATTGAGAATTTCACTGGAGTTAATGACTTTGGTTTATGGCGTTTGAAGATGCGAGTCTTTCTTGTTCAACAGGGTTTGCTAGAAGCGTTAAAGGGAGAAGATACCATGGATGCTACATTGAAGGAGAAGGAAAAGACAAAGATGATCGAGAAAGCCCACCGTGCAATTATTCAGAGTCTTGGTGATAAGGTTCTCAGGAAGGTTTCGAAAGAGACGACGACAATTGGTGTTTGGCTGAAACTCGAAGGGTTGTATATGACAAAGTCCTTAGTGAATTGTCTGTACTTGTAACAAGCTTTATATTCATTCAAGATGAATGAAGATAAAGCATTGACGGAGCAGTTGGATACGTTCAGCAAGCTGATTCTTGATCTTGAAAATATTGATGTTACCATCAATGATGAAGATCAAGCGTTGTTATTGTTGTGTTCTTTACCTAAGTCACATGCTCACTTCAAAGAAATCCTCTTGTATGGAAGAGAGTCCCTGACCTTTAAAGAAGTTCAAGCAGCCTTGTATTCGAAGGATTTGAACGAAAGAAAGGAGCATAAAGCATCATCATCAGTTGGCGAAGGGTTGTCCCTAAAGGGAAAATCGTCTAAGAAAGATGGTAGGTTTGAGAAGAAGAAAGGTAAAACTCAGCAGAAGTCTTATGGTAGTGATATTTTTGGGATTAAGTGTTATCACTGTAAGAAGGAGGGTCACACAAGAAAGATGTGCCTTGAGCGCCTGAAAAATCATAGAGGTAAGGACAATGGAAATGTAGCTATTGTGCAAGATGATTATGAACCATCTGATGTCCTTGTGGTGTCGAGCAACAACTCTTGCAAAGAGTGGATTACAGATTCTAGATGTACTTGGCATATGACTCCAAACAAGAATGTGTTTGAAGAATTATGTAATCAAGATGGTGGATCAGTGCTGTTGGGAAACAATAAAGATTGCAAGATTGCAGGTATTGGATTTGTAAGATTCAAACTCCATGATGAGTCAATAAAGCTATTGAATGGGGTTAGGTATGTACTTGACCTTAAGATGAATTTGATTTCTCTTGTTGAATTCAACAAGAAAGGATATGTCTTCAAAGGAGAGCAAGATATCTTAAAAGTCATGAAGGGGTCGAAGGAAGTCTTGAGAGGCGCGAAGAAAAAAGGCTTGTATACCCTTGAGGCTGAGGTTGTAAGTGGTTCAACAAATGTTTCATCCACGAAACTGGTGTCGAAGACATAATTATGGCACATAAGATTGGGTCATGTCAGTGAAAGAGGCCTGGTCGAACTGGGAAAATAGAACCTGCTAGGTGGTGACAAAGTCGAAAAGTTGGAGTTTTGTGAATCTTGTGTATTTGGTAAATTCTGTAGGATGGAGTTTAACAAAGGTAAACAAAGAATACACGGATCCCTTGATTACATTCATGATGATCTTTTGGGGCCTACAAGGAATCCTTCACACTTAGGTGCAAGGTATTTTCTATCCATCGTTGATGACTATTCCAGAAAGTTATGGGTATTCATTCAGAAGATGAAGGATGAAACTTTTGAGAATTTCAAAAGTTGGAAGGTTATGGTCGAAATTCAAACTGACAGAAAGGTTAAAAGGTTGAGAATCGATAATGGCCTTGAGTTCTGCAATGGAGCTTTCGACATTTACTGTGTTGAGTCTGGGATTGCAAGGCATAAGACTGTAGCAGGTACTCCTCAACAAAATGGCTTAGTTGGGAGATTCGATAGAACAATCCTTGAAAAGGTTAGATGCATGTTGGTTAGTGTTGGATTGAAGAAGGTGTTTTGGGCAGAGGTTGCTTCGTCAACAGCTTATCTGATAAATATATGTCCCTCGAATGTCTTGGGAATGAAGACACCTGAAGAAGTTTGGTCGGGTCAGCGACCAGACCTCGACAAACTGAGAGTATTTGGCTGTTTGGCCTATGCTCATATTAGGCAAGACAAGGTCGAACCTAGAGCTCTGAGATGCATGTTCCTTGAATATCCCGAGGGAGTCAAGGATTAAAGGCTGTGGTGCCTAGAACCAGGTCACATAAGATGTATCACAAGTTGTAATGTAGTTTTTAATGAAGTTGAAATGGCGTTCAAGAAAACTGGTGATGCTGGTCGAAGTGCAGAAATCTCTGAGGAGGAGCTGGAACAGGTAGACATTCCTATTGAGGTGGAGCATAGTGATGCTGAAGTACATAACCCAGATCAAGTCGAAGAACAAGAGCAAGATGTTGAAGAGGCTGAGGAAACTGTCGATGACTACCTACTGGCAAGAGATAGGTCGAGAAGAGTCATCAAGCCACCTCAAAGACTTGGCTATATAGATCTTATAGCTTTTTACTTAATCTTTTCAAGTGAGGTACTTGACGAAGAACCTAGAGATTCAAGGAAGCTATGAGGATTCGAAATAAGACTGAATGGTGAAAAGCCATGGATGACGAGATGGAATCTCTTCATGATAATAACACTTGGGAACTGATTGAGAAACCTGCAGGAGCAAGGTTAGTCAGTTGTAAATGGATTTTCAAGGTCAAGGAAGGAATAAAAGGAGTGATGTCGAAGCGCTTTAAGGCAAGATTGGTTGCTAGTGGGTTCACTCAGAAAGAAGGTGTCAACTTCAATGATGTGTTCTCACCTGTTGTAAAGCATAGATCCATTAGAATGTTGTTGTCTATGGTGGCGAAATTCGACTTGGAACTTGAGCAGACGGATGTGAAGACATCATTTTTGTATGGTGACCTAGACGAAATGATCCTGATGTGTCAACTTGAAGGGTATGCAGAAAAGGGTAAGTAAGATTATGTTTGCAAGATGAATAGGTCTTCGTATGGCCTGAAACAATCGTCTCGACAGTGGGGGTGTTCATGGCACTCCGATACCCTCTTCCACTAGAGGGTCAGGTAACCTAATTTTCTCACTCTTCTCTCTGTACTTGTTATTATTATGCTCGTCACTTACTTTGGTATCGGAGTGTGTTTCAGAAACACCCCCTATGTTCGTCAAGTCAACAGTTCGACAGCTCAGACGCGTGGTAGCCCATCGATCTCCCTGGTCAGGTACGATCAGTGGCACCGTCTGTGGGAAGTAAGCTTTTTCGTTCCTCCGAGCAGAAGAACTAAAGCTTCCTATTTCAAATCCCGAGATCATGACTAGCCCACGTCACAACGACGTTGTCCATAATTCTGCCTTCGCCCCAATCACCAATGACGACAACCAGTCGGGGATATCTCAAGTCCACGAGATCAACACCAGGGACGGTCAGACTGCCTCTCCTTCGTCCGAGGACGCGACACATCACGTCGCACCTCGGGCGAGGAGCCCAACAGTCTTCCATCTCGTTCCCACGCCGACTGGGACGGACCCGACGATGACCTCCCTCTTCGCGGCTATCAACCAGACAAACCTGATGCTGTTCTAGCAGAATGAGCGCATCGGCGCCCTGGAACAGGATACCTCATCTCGCTCTCCCCCGCGGAGAAAT